TGCCCAGAGACAGATACACTGTAGATGATATCGTCGTTGTACGGTTATCTCGTCCAAGGTATGGCCGTCTCGTCAGTGTCTTGTCGATGTCATTTCGGGCTGCAGTCGGCAGCCGGCTAGTTGGTGTAGTCGGCAGCCGGCTGGTTGGCGCAGTCGGCAGCCGGCGGGGCAGAGCAGTCGGACGGGGAGCCGGCAGGAGCGGCCGGACAGTCGGACTGAGGGGCTTTGCTAGCCCCGATGTCTTGAAATATCGTCTTGCCGTCCTCGGGGTACCCGTGGTCAATTACTCCGACAACCAGCATAGTGATCGGCGATGGGGCTCGGGCCTCCTTCTGGCTCTCTTCATGGATCGGCCAGGGCAGCCTCCCGCGGCAATTCCCAAGGCTTTTCAGCTACTCACGACGCAAGAACTAATCGCTGCGGGAGGCCCTCAGCGACAACACGTGGATCCGCGGCCTCGCCCACGGCAACAACCACCACTTTTTGCCGGACGTCCTCGCCCTTCACCGCCTGCTCCAGGGGGCGAAGGCGCAGCTGCAGCCAGCGGTGCCGGATGACCTCATCTGGAGCAGAGCGAGCTCAGGAAAGTACACGGCGAAGTCGGCCTACTTGGTGCAATTCCAGAGAAGAACGGCGACTTAGTTCGACCGCCTGCTATGGAAGGCTTGGGCGCCTGGCAAAATCAAAATCTTCGCCTGGCTGCTTCTCCAGGATCACCTCTGGTGCAATGACAGACTTCAGCGGCGAGGTTGGACCAATGCTTACTACTGCCAACTCTGCGTCAGAAACCTGGAGTCCTCGCGCCACCTCTTCTGGAGCTGCCAAGAATTCGGACGGGTTTGGGCTGAGCTGGGAGAGTGGCACGGTTGCTCGGCCCTCTCCCAGGCCGAGAATTGGCGCCGTGACAGTTCCACCATGATCGTACAAGGCATACTGGAGCAGACCCCCCACCAATGGAGACAGGGAGTGCGGATGATGTGCTGGCTTGCTTGCTGGGAGATATAGCAAGAGAGAAACCACTGCACCTTCAGGCAGCACCTGCCGTGTGCGGCAAGAATCATCAAGCGCATAAAAGACAGCATCGAGCTATGGAGAACCACTGGAGCTGCATGCATTGAGAGCCCCTTCGGGGACCCCCCTTGAGAGATAAACCCCCCTTGTTCTAGGGGTTTGATCGTGTGTGGCAAACTCTAAAACTTTGATCCTAGGACCTTCATCACCATTGTTGTTTTCCCGCTACTTTCTACTATGATCAATGAAACGCCAGCAATTGTTGGATCTTTCAAAAAAGAAACGCCTGATCAAATGATAGGGAAGGGAAGACACAGACTTGCAATAATTGTTCTTTTTTTTCTCATAGCTTCCATCGTGTTCACGGTCAAACTGGAGCCGCATAAACTGCCTCACAAACATGTGCATCGGACTGGCAGGAGGCATATATATCTTCAGCATATTATTTGCACTCAGGCTGCGCTGTGTGCTTGTCATTTGTTGCGCAGAAAACCTTCATGAAATAAGGCTTCGCCCACTTGGTCCTGATCTCATATATCATGTGTCATGTATGGGTGCTGTTTTAGATTATCATGTATGGGTGCTGTTTTAGATTATACTTTTCCATCAACATAGTCCAGGCATTTTCAAACTTGTCTACCATGAGCATGTGGTTCAAATGTACTTTCTCCCCCATCGTCAGATACATTGAGTGGTTATGTTTCTCACGATGCTCTGTTATAAACCAACTATTCTCTGCCGCTCCTAGGAGACTGATCAGCATCGGGCACTCACATCTGCAAGATCGGTTGTTCTCGGCTTCAGTCTTTCCCTGCAAAGATAACCCAATTCACTAGAACGCACTGACAGAAGTTAGACATTTTGTGCAGTTTGGGATAAAGATCACATCACTCACATCCTCACACAATTTCCTTCATTGATTTTGTCTTCTGCATGTTGAATCTACTTTTACCATATATTATCCCAAATCCCACTTCCCACAAGTACAAGTTGTAGAAGTTGTATGCCTCGCTGAGGGAGTCCAAGCTTGATCCCAACTCATGCTTGATCAGACTTTTTGTTGGTGCATTCACAAATTTCCGAATCGATTGCTCAAGCGCAGCAAGGTACACGGTTTGGACCCTAGTAGAAAAGAAAAGATTTTTCTAAAAAAAAGTCTGATCAAGCTTCGACTAACAGAGCGGTCTATCCTGGACTAACAGAGAGCAACTAGTTAACGAGCGCTCATTCGGAAGTCTTGAAATGATGAGCGCCACTTGGCGCGCTCTCAGCCATTCGCCATGTGTCGCGCTTTGGGCGCTCCTTTCGATTTTTGTTTTTTATTTTTATTTTTCCGCGCGCGTTTTCAGCTTTTTAGACGGGTTTTTTCAACGTCTTGGTTTTTCCACTGGTTTTTCTTACCTTTTCGATAAAAAAATTTGGGGAAAAAAAATTTGTGCGGAAAAATGCGTTTTTTTCCTTTCGTGAGAGTCACGGTTTTGCTTCCATGAGAGGCACGGTTTTGCTTTCGAGAGAGTCACGGCCGTGCCTCTCAGAAACAAAAAAAAAACGTGTTTTCTGTTTTTTTTTCCTTTCGTGAGAGTCATGGTTCTGCTTCCGCGAGAGTCACGGCCGCGCCTCTCGGAAAAGGAAAAAATGTGTTTTCTATTTTTTTCCTTTCGCGAGAGTCACGGTTTTGCTTCCGCAAGAGGCACGGTTGTGCTTTAGCGAGAGTCACGGCCGTGTCTCTCGAAAACGGAAAAAAGCGTTTTTTGCTTTTTTTGCCGGATTTACGGTTTTGCTTCCACGAGAGGCACGGTTGTGCTTTCGCGAGAGTCACGGCCGTGCCTCTCGGGAACGGAAAAAAACGCATTTTTTTGCCTTTCGCGAGAGTCACTGTTTTGCTTCCACGAGAGGCACGATTGTGCTTTCGCGAGAGTCACCGCCGCGCCTCCTCGGAAAGGAAAAAACGCATTTTCTCTTTATTTTATTCCGTGAGAGTCACGGTTTTGCTTCCCCGAGAGGCACGGTTGTGATTTCGTGAGAGGCACGGGCGTGCCTTTTTCGGAAAGGGAAAAAACCCGTGCTCTTGGTTCGATTTTTTCATCCGGTTTTTTTCGTGAAAAAAAGTCTGTCAAAACCTATCAACATGGGATCTAGTTTTGAAGATCTCGACGTGAAGAATCCAACGGTGAAAATGGTTAGAGATTTGGACGCACGGTTTGAGAGATAAAACGTTCTGAATAAACAGATCTACGGAAAAAGGGGAAACTCTCAAGCTGCGAGAAGTGGCGCGCTGCATGTGCGCCACTTGTCGCAACTAGGGGAGTTGAAGTGATCTTTGCAACGAGTACTTCTCAACTAGTAATTTCGAGACTAACATTATGGACCTTTGCTCAGGAATTTAGAGATGTCAATGTTCCACGGCCTGGGGAAATAAGGAGACGGACTAGTCACATGGGCGCCTCTGCGCATACGGAAGTGGGCCAGCTCAACGCATTGTTTCCCTCGTATCCTGATTTTCTCGCGAACGATCTCTGACGAGTCAGGCCTGTTTTCCATCATCCCAACGCAACATTAGACGCATAGGATTTCGGGCTCAGCTGAGCCCGAGCACCAAATAGGCCCTTCCAAATACACAGGTGTTTCCCGAGCAATGTTATTATTTCACAAAAAACCACTATTTATAGAATATGTGGTTAAAATGGACAGATGGAAATTGTATATCTACTATTGAATGTATTGTCTGTATCACGATATACTTATTGCGTATATTCATTGGAAGCATTAATGTATTGGCAATATAGGAACCCAAATCTTACCACTTGTGTTTGAAGAATATACATTATGAATAGAAAGCAATAAATGTACTATTGCTGAGGATATTTTTTCTTTGAATATGCCTTGTGGTGTACTAAAGATATGATGCCAACATTAAATGATGACAAGAGTATGTAGCCTCGCGTCTATAAATTATGTATGAGGATCCTGTATATGTATCCCAACAGAACACATGAACTCTTACAAAAGAAAGGATTGTTTCAAACACCCAATGGGTTTTGTGGTAATAGTTGTCTTTCTATGCCTCTTGAATTCAACCTACTACGTTCGTCTAGCCGCGTTGATAGATGCACCTGGCAATCTACTAACCGAGATAAAAGTATGAGCAACACTCTAAATATTATTCTTGAAACTTTTTGAACAAAATTATTTTTAGCCAAAGATTCGACTCTTCAGTTCCTTGTATCCAAGTCAAGGTGCAATTTGAGGAAAATATTGCATCACATGTGACTTTTTAGCCATTCAACAGGATAAAATAATGGGACTTCTACCTCCCTACTCTCTCTCTCTCTCTCTCTCTCTCAGTACATCGAAACTATTGAGCACTCAGGAATGTGTGGCTCTTTGTTCTAACCATCTATGGACACGAAATTTGTGCGTCACAAAAATCTAATTAACTACAATATTTTTAAATTTATGATTAACTGCCACAAACTTATATATGATGCTCAAAGCATGTTATCACATAATTTTGTGATTTCGTGTGAAAATAATATTGTGAACTTTTGTATATTATCTCAACAATAACAACATTATTTTTGCAGCACGCAACTCTTGTGGAGCCACACCATTTTGACTTGTCTAGGAGGAACAGATTTCCTTCTGGAGAATACCAAGATAACATTGTTTCTGGGGTAAGTCACCACAATTTAAGGATGGAGCAACATATGCTATTCCAATGGAAGGATTAATTTGTTTTCCTATTTGTGCAATTCCAATCAGATAGGAGGGACAAAACCTTTAGTTACCTAGAAAGGATAAGATATTCATCCATTTGAATTATCAAGTATATATACTTAAACTTTTTTTATTGCCAGGTAGCTGTGTGGAGGACACAAATAGGAAAATACTATGGTCTCCGAGCTAAAATAGGTGTGTGGGCTCACCCGAATCAAAAACATTCTCAAGAATCTGGAGCATCCATATCTGTTGGTGGAAAATTTGGACCCATGCTCAGCCAAATTGAAGCCGGGTTTCATGTAAAATCTAAAATGAACTAACCATATAAATGTACATGCTGCTACGAAATGTCCAGTTTTCTAATTTTGTTTTTTCACTCAGGTTTTTCCTGACCTGTATAACAACAGTGATGTTCGCTTCTTTACGTTTTGGACTGTAAGTGCAAACCATTTCGTTTTCATTGTGCAAGTCTTTAAAAAATCAAGGACACTAAAACTCATAACAACCTCTTTATTTTTACCATTACTTAGAGGGATGGATATAAATCAACAGGATACTATAACCTAAAATGCAGCGGATTCATTCCTGCTAAAGGAGCTGCACTTGTTCCGGGTCAAGCAGTTGGTCCTCCCTCAACATATGATGGAGAAGATCACCACATCACAATTAGCCTACACACGGTAAGCCTCAAATTGGTTTCAAAAAGTTTTGATATAATTAAGAAGTTTGCTATTATCAATCATGCCTTATAATCTTGAGGAAACCATGGAAATATCAAAATAATGTATAGATTTTGCAAGAGAAAGGAATGAAAAATCTAGTTCAAGCTAGGCACATATTAATATCACATATGAATAAATATAGCATGAGCCTACCCCCATTATATATGTTAATAGGATCAATATATATTTGTGGTTCAATTAGCGATGTAATGCAAATTAAAATTACACATTGCATCTGGATCTTTAGGATTTTCTATTTGCAATGGGTTGAAAGGGAGACCCTACCTTTAACTTCCATTGAAGTATGTAAGAAACAACGTAAGAATATATAGAAAAGCTACATACTTTATGGTCTTTGGGCATAATGGACGATTTTAGGATGTACCCATTACCATGTTAACCGCTATCTTTGTACCAAAAGTATTTCAAATTGTGTACATAAGGTGGATGCAGTGACTAATCCTCCGTTGCAACATTGAATCTTAATTTGAAAACCCAAGGATTGACCCATGCATATGTGTAAGCCATTTGCTAGTAATTGATTTTGTTTATCTTTTGTATTGAAATTATAGGACCCTAATACAGGAAACTGGGTATTATATCGGGACGACCTAGAGAGGCCTTCTTTCCTAGGGCATTTTCCTAAAGATCTTTGCCCGGAGTTGAATGGTGTTGCACCCCAAGTATTATTTTCTGGGTTTGCGACTTATCCAAGGAATGGCAGAGGGCCGGCAATGGGCAGCGGGCATTTTCCCGTGGAAGGTGAAAGAAAAGCCGCATACTTTAAGAACATGAAGATATTCGACTCAAATGCTAGTGCTCATGATCCTATTCCAAGCATCATGGTCCCTTTGATGAATAGGCCGGACTGCTACAAGTTGGGCGACATTCCTCTTGGAGTAAAGAATAGTTATTTGTTCTATTATGGTGGGCTTGAAGGTTGTCATGGTTGATAACTAATAAATGCTTTCGGTTGCAGGTAATTATATAAATAAATAAATAACCTTTTTTGTTGTCATAATTCTCCCAACTGAAGTTTTGGTGCGGTTGTATCAGCATTGTCTTTTGGCCCTCTCTATTGTCCGTGGTGAACTATTGTCTTATTTTTTTCCATGCTATCAACATTTTTACTGCGTCCTCTGAGCTTGGCCGAAATGGGCTATGTCTTATTAATTTGATGTATGGGCTTAATTGTTGAGATACATCATAGCAATGCAAAGAAGTCCTCTATAGTGCTTACGGCGATAGCTATATCTCACCTGCTGTGAGGTGGAAGCTCCTCTCGCAGAAGGGTGCGTGGATATGGGACGACCCATTAGGTAGGTTCACTTGCTGCGCCTCGCTGTAGTTTGCTAGTTGTGGGTTTGCTACCGCTAATTTTTTTTGTAGGTTTGCTCTACTTCGTTTTTTCTCTGTTTTTTCTTTCTTCTTCAATTCCTTTTGTTTTTTCATCGGTTTTCTTTGTTTTTTATAACTTTGGTTTTAATTGTTTTAACTGGTTTTCTTCGTTTTTCACTGGGTTTTTTCGCGTTTCTTTCTTTCTTCACAGTTTTCTTTGTTTCTTTGATATTTTTCCTTTTGTTTTAGTTTCCTTTAACACATGACTCCTTTTCTCCTTCTTCTTTTGCTAAACATTTTTTGATACACGCTTAGCATGTTTCCAAATACATGTACAATTTTATTTTCATACATGTTTTTAAAAACTTTTTTGAATACATAGTCAACATATTTTTCGTATACACCATGTATATTTTTCAAATACATGTTTATTTATTTTTCAAATATATGCTTTAATGCCTATTTTATTTTTCATACCAATTGTATATTTTTGGTATACATATAAAAAAGTATATACATTCTAGCATTTTTCTAATACATGATTGACATTTGTTTCAAAATTATATTTTGATACACATTGCCCATTTTTCTTATACACGAGGAACATTTTTTATATACATGTTTAACAGGTTTGAAAATGAATGATTGGCATCTTTAAAAAAATATTTATTGTTGATGTCTACTTGTTTTTTATACATCAGGAACATTTTTAATATACTTTCTAATATTTTCAATTTTCCAATATATTATTAACATTTTTTCAAACATATGTTTTGATGTTAATGTTTCTTCACACACGTTGTACATTTTTCGTATACATTAAATTCTCTTTTATGGCTAATTTTTTTGTTCACGTTAATATTTTTTATATATCTTTTAAAAAATATGTAATTAACTAAAAATTTATGTAAAGCAATTTTTATATTATATATATTAGAATATTTGCAACTACAAATAAGAGTGAAAACTGAAATCAGAAAACAACAACAAAAATTGAAAAAAAAAAGGAACAAACTTGCACTTAATGCCCCGTGTGCTGTTCCGGTCCATTACCGATGGCGTTTGGGGCGAGCGCTCCTGCCATGTCGCGTAAAAAACACACAAAAGGAAAATTCACGGTGCTCGGAATTGAACTCTGGACCTTCCGCTGTGGTCAGCACACAAATTTAAGAACTATCATCTCGTACAGTCATCCTGCTGGTGAGTGAAATAAACTTTAGCAGTACTGTTGCTAATGTGTTTTCGTTAAAAAAGTACACATTTCAAATTTCGAAAATGTTTTTGGAAAGCATGAACACTTTTAAAAAACATATGAAAATGGTTCAATAACTTAATGATTTTCCGATAACACGAACATTTTTTAAAAAAATGGAACATTTTTGTCGATTTTTTGAACATTTTGAAAAATTGCAAACATTATTTTGTAAGTGTGATTTTTTAGAAATAAGAACAATTTTTCAAACTGTGAACATTATCTTGGAAACAACGAACATTTCCTAAAATTTACGATTTTTTTAAAACACGAACATTTTTTGAAAATCTGAAAAATTTCAACTTTACAAACACTTTGAAAACGCAAACATTTTCTAAAATTGGTGACTATTTATTGAAAACATGAAAATTTTTCCAAAATTTGTGAACATTTTTTGAAAACACGAATATTTTTTAAAATTTGTGAACATTGTTTTCAAACACAAACATTTTTTTAAGAACCCTGAACATATTTTAAAATTAAAAAAAATGAATTCTAAAAATTATTGAAATTTGTGATTTTAAAAAAGGAAATAGAAAAAGGAAAGAAAAGAAGAAAGAAACAGAAAAGATAAAAACAAAAGGGAAACTTTTACCATCACCCGGCGGATCGCAGCGGCGCGTCCGCCACCTCCCCTGCGTTACACGTGTCCAAGTGAGAGCCCGCACTCGAATGCGCTTTTGCACCAGGAGCTATGTTTCTGAAACATGTGTAGTGTTGCAATGGCCTATGACGAGTCTAAATTTTGCAACAAAACTTTTCTTACAAATTTTTTCTGCAACAAGACCTTGATTATAGAAAACATTTGCAACAAAAACTCAGTTGCAAAACATGCAACAAAACAACTGTTACAAAAAAATTCTGCAACAAGACCTATGTTGCAAAAATAATTCTACAACAAGACATATGTTGCAGAAATAATTCTGCAATAAGACCTGTGTTGCAATGATGGGGCGCACCCGGCCGCCTGATGCAGCAAATCTGACGGTTCGTGACCCGGCTATTCTATTAAAATGATCAGCTAGTGGACGTGTAGCATGCCCCAAAACAAAAACGAAAATTTTAAAAAGAATCAGAAAGGAAAAAACAAAATAGAAAAAACCTAAAAGAAAACAAGCCAGAAAAAACAAACAGGAAAAAAACCGATTCTGGAATCTTCTAGAAGTTTCCGAAAACCCGGAGAAAACACCAGTCTTTAATAGGTACCATAACGCGAACGGGCCGGCCCAGATTGCATCGCTCACTTGTGACCCTGTGCGAGGAAAACCCTATTCGCCGCATTTTGCAGCGAATTGTCGATCTACCGCACAGATTCGATAGAAACTGGGCCACTCCAGTTAGCTCTTTTTCACGTGGGATCGTTTTCCGGTTTTGGTAACCTTTTGGTTGGTTTCTGGCCAGTTTTGGAACCTTCCAGAAGGTTGTTGAACCGAGTTTTCTGGTTTGTTTTATTTTATTTCTTCTTCTCATTTATAGTTATTTCTTTTTTTATTTTTCTGTTTGTTTGTTTTCTTTCTTTTTTATTTCTTTTTCTTTTTTTCTTTTTTTATTTTGTTGAAAATATTTATTTTTTTTGTTTGTGTTTCCAAAAAATGTTCAGACTTTGTAAAAATGTTCTCAAAATTCAAAATTTGTTCTTGTTACACAAAAAATTTCAAAACTTTCGAAATTCAAAAAATGTATTGGATTCCAATTTTTTGTTCACGCATTCAAAAAATGTTCGCGCTTGCAATTTTGTTTGGGATTTTTTAAAATTCTTCTCTGTTTCAAAATTTGCTCTCAAGATTCAAAAAATGTTCCTGCTTTAAAAAATTCACAAACTCCAAAAATGTTCATGTTTTTGAAAAATGTTTGGAAGTTCAAATTTGTTCATTTTTATATATAAATTGCGTTTGTGAAAAAATATCGTACATTAAAAAAATTACTCAAATTTTGGAAAAAAAATCAGGATTTTGTCAAATAGTGTTAAGTTTGGAACAGTACTTAGCTTGTTTCTTATAGAGCTCCGTTGTATTCTTGTCGGCAGGTCCATTCTATCGCACTGGCTAACCGAGGTCGCGCAAGCAGGTAGTCCCGAGTTTGATTCCTAGCCACCGCGGGCACCCTTTTTCTTTATTATTCAGACTCGTTTTTGCAGTGCACAGAATGGGCCGGCCCAGTCGGCGCGCCCTGTGCGGCGGGGCGTTTATTTGCCGCAGAACGCGGCAAACAGGAGCTTCCCCTGTGCGAAGCCTCGACAGCTTGACGCAACGTGTCTCATATAGCATTTTCCCTTGGCGCTGGAGTTTCTCTGGGCCGGCCTATTAACAGGATTCAAGCCCAACCGGTTTTGGGAAGGTTCTCCGTAACATGTTTTTATTGTTTATTTTCCTTTCGGTTTTCTTTATTATTATTTTTTGCTTTTCCTTTTGTTCTTTTTCTGTTTTACTTTTAATTTTCTTTTTCTCTTTTCATTTTTATTCTTGTTTTTTCAATTTGCAAAAATATTTTAGATTTTGTGATTTTTTCTGTTTTATTTCTGTTTTTTGTTTCAATGTGTGAACATCTTTTTTTAAATTCATAAACATTTATTGTAACTGTGAACAGTTGTTTGAAATCATGAACAGTTTTTCTAAAATTACGTACTTTTTTACTTTTCACATTTTTGCGAATTTTCCTTTTGAATTCATGAACAGTTTTTTGTTCATCAAATTCAAAAATGCTCATCAATGTAAAAAAATGTTCATCAAGTTCATTTTTTGTTCACTGGATTAAAAATGTTCATGAAAAGGAAAAAGTTATTCGTTGATTTACAAAAATGTTCATAACATTACAAATTTGTTCATAGATTTTCATAAAATATTCATCAAGTTTTTGAATACAATTTTTGTTTATAATTTTAAAAAATATTCATTGAATTCAAAATTTGTTCATGAAATATAAAAATGTTCATCATTATTGAGAAATGCTCATAAAAAATTGTTCATTAAAATTCAAAATATGTTCCTTCTTTTGAATTCATGAACATCTTTTGACAATTCACAATTCAAAATGTTTTAAAATTCTAGAACTAATCCAGAATTATTTTAATATAGAATAAAACAATAACCAAAAAATAAGAAAGTAAAAGTGAAAAATGAAACAAGGCACGCGCGGGGGCGTGAGGGTGCGCGCTGTCGTCACAGGGGGCGCCCCACGCATGGTATAGGACCTCCCGATGGGCTCAGACCTCCTAACGACCTATTCCTCGCCAGGTGGAGCGTGTGCCTGCATTAGAGTATCTACGACCGGACTCCCTGTACACGTGCTAAACATTTGGATAGGCTGCCTGGTCAGTGACCGGATGCAAAAACTCCATCCAACTAGGCCCAAACACTCGGACTG